TCACCCGTTAGCTGGAAGCTGCAAGCGGCGGCAAGTTCGAGTGGGGCACTGGGGAAGACGAGAAGAAAGTTCAGGCACGCAGGGCACAAGCAGCAGTTGTGGCCACTGCCGCCGCCTCAAACCCACCGGTGGAAGACAAGCAGCTCGTGTTTTCCAGCACGAACATGAATGTGTGTTTGCTCCAACAGTTCTCATTGTTCGAGGAGTGGTGGTGCCCTGTTGAGGCTGTTCACAAATGCGGCTGCAGCGTTCTCATGTCCCTTACTTCGCGTGCTATCGTCTGGCGCGAGACAGGTTTGCAAGACCCAGCGCCGGTCGAACAGGTGTTCGAGAAGCTGCGGGGTCACACTGCTGCGCCGGAAGGGCAGCCTTGTTCTTAGGCCAGGCTCCTGCCTCGGTCGACACCTCACCTCTCCTCACCTCACCTCACCTAACAACACCGGGGACTTCGGGTGTAGGGCATGCAGGATTTATTTGGCTTGGGGGGGGGCTTTGAGAAGTATCTTGGGTTCATTGAAACTTGCATTGCCGTCAGGATGCTTTCGGGTATCGTTTCTGGGTTGTTAGGATCGCTTGGGAGTACTCATGAAGGTGGCTGGGACGAGCGTGAGGCTTCTCTCTGGGCTGCAAGGCGTTCTTTGAAGATGCAATCCATTACCTTTAGAAGCAGACTTGCGACTTGCTACATCATATGATCACCAGGACAGTATTTTTGGGTTTATGATGTTTTTTCTCAGTGAGATACGTTATCACTCGGGCAGCGCCTGAGGCAGAGTGGCTCGTAGGCAAGCTCGCTTGCTTCCAACTCGGCTCAAGCTTTGAGCAGTCCAGCTCAGCAATTCGTGCTTTCTGTTTGGGAGTGTCAACCATGTCCGGCTTTATGCCGATGTTGGAGTGGCTGATCTTGTCTCAGGCCTTTGGTCTGCTTGACCATGCGTGAATCACCGTTGTCCGACTTGGGCAGGAGCCGTGGGTTGCCCATCCTGATGCGAAACCCTCTGGTTTGGACCGTGGGGGAGCTTGGTCATGGCTTGCTTGCCAGTGTGCGCCGTTTCAGCATGGCATCATTAAAATGTTGCGGCACTCGCGGGCATCCTAAGTGACCACGAGGGGCGAGAGATCATCAAGGCCCCGGCGCAGTAGTTGGCGCGCTCGAGCCCTGCGCCCTGTGCTGGCCAAGACGCTGCTCGTGGGAGGGATGAAAAAACCCAGTCTGCAGGGCCTGCAAAACCGGCCTGTCCAAAAGCTGTTCGAGAAGCTCGGGGTCACACTGCCGTAAGACAGGTAGGTAGCGGTTCGGTTCGGTTCGGTTCGGTTGCGGTCTTGAACCAGCGGTTCAGGTTCATGGGGTTCGGTTTCTGTGGCGGTTCCTGCGGTTCGGTTCGCGGTTCCTGGCGGTTCCAAAATTAAATTTCATAAGCCCTTAACAAAACATGTGCCCGTACACACATCACCCCCTAAACCCTAAACCCGTTGAGGTCTACGGGCTCGATGCCCCACCTTGTCGTGGTGGGAGGGCTCAGTACCCCCTCCACAAAAGGGGGAAGTTAAGAGGTCCCCGACAGTGAGAAATCAATACTCGACACACGCGAGCATTGTGTTTCCAAACTCCTCTCTATTTGATTACAGAATAAGAGTCGTTTTTTGATCCCTTAAATAGTTTAGTTTGATCTTCTAAGTAGCTGCCTCCTCTTTTTTTATAACTTGAAAAACGTATTTTTGATTCCTTAAATAATTGTTCTGATCTTGTAGGGGTATACATGCAGTACATCATGGTCACATACTCACCGAATGCCAGCCTGCACTTTCGACGACCTCTGTAATCATGGGGCACTTCGACCCTGCCAAACGCATATAGAGGTCGGAATCATTGGTGATAGCATCCTCTGATCCTCTGACGGCCCGTGTATGTTTATGTCACAATATATTCCAAACATCTCCAAGCCCGATTATGAACATTCCAACCACTAAACTAAAAGCCTATAAGCGCCTATCAAAGCCTGTAAAGCCCTACACAACCCTGTGAAGCCCGACTGGGATTGGGCCAGGATGCCACGATTCACGAAGGCTTTGAAGCGCAAACACCCTAAACCAGGATGCAGTGGTTCACCCTTGCCCTTAAACCCCGAACCCCGAACCCTCACACCCAAAACCCCTAAACCAGGATGCCATGATTCACTTGCTCCTGAACTCCCGCGCGTTGTCGTCCCGCATTGGCGATGCCTTGGACCCCCATGCCGTACCTCAGTTCTATTTGGTTTAGGGCTTGCGGGTTTAAGGTTTGGGGGTTCAGGGTAATGTCCATTGCACAAGTCCTGATGCAAAAAGGCTTACCCTTGAACCTTAACAGCTTAACTTTTTATGGATCTGCATTATGGTTTTGTCCAAGAAGTCCTTCCAGCGGTAGGTGATTGGGGATTAGGGTAGGGTTTATAAAGAGTCTTTGTCAAGGTTCCATGAAGGGTTCTGTCAAGGGTCTGTTCAGGGGTTTTAAAAGGTGTACATAGGGTTGATTTTTTGGGTAAAGGGTTTGGATTTACAGGGTTGTCAAGTGTACAATCTGTAAAGTGTTTCGAAGATGCGAAACTTTAGCCAGTTTAGGACTCTTGGTTTATGGTTTGGGGTTGGAGTTTAGGGTTTGAGAAGGATGAACTTGCCGTTTTTACCGGAGCCTAAACATCATTTAGGACACCCTTGAAGCGACGATGGGCATGAATCTTTGCCGGGGCGGCTGCATCATAACTATTGTGGGGAAGAACAAAAAAAGGCATGTCGGCCAGGGGGCATTGAAGCTTTGCGACAGATATGCCAATGTTGTATTCGCACCACGGACAATGCCCAGGCTGCTGTGAAAATTCCGTCCAGGATTTGTGCTACGGGGGACAGTTTGCCAGGTCATCGTGCCTCAGAGGGAACTGAATGCCTACGACGCCACTCAGCCGGACATGGCACATTACTTGGACATGGTTCATTTGGCTGCTTTTTGCTGGGATTGTATGGCAGGGGTTCGCTTTCCTTCTTTGTTATACCAGGCCGTGCACGACAGTACCAGCTGACACTTCTGCAGGGGTTTGTTTGCTTACGACGGTCATTCCGACCCAGGTGTCTTAGTACACCGCGAGATGTGGCAGGATTCAAGGTAATTAAGGGGTATAGACTGTGACTGAGATGTGGGCCTGCCGGCTTCGCAGAAGAGGGGTCGCAAATCAGATTCGATCATGACTGTACTTGCAGCAGCATCCACATCGAAAGATGGCTTTAGAGCAAGCATACAACAACTCCCCGAATAAAGTCTGATAGTATATAGCAAAATACACCCCAATACCCCAATGTACTTATTTAGGTCCCTGCCCGAAACTCTAAACCTTCAACCTTCACCCCCTATCGCATCTTGGAACTGCAAGACTTTTTAAAGATCAGGGGTTGGTTGGGGTTAAGCTCAGTTGCTTCGTCGGTGCCCCAGCTCTCCTCTGATAACTCACCTCGGGCTTGAAGCCTTGAGACACTTGCATCTGTAGAGGGCTCCTATTTTTCTGTAGGAGACGTTCCGGGATCTTGACGCCTCAGTTTCTTTACCCAGTACGATCATATCATATCATACATATATATATATATACACATAGATTTATTTATTTATTTATTTATACATACATACATATGTATAGTTTATATTATATCATATTGTATTGTTTTATATTATATTTTATCATGGTATATTACATTTTTTATATTATTTTACTTATATTATATTATACTATACTATATTTTTAACAAATTTCATTTTACTGTATATATTAATTATATATATATATATGTCATATTTGACTATACTATATTATTTTAATTTTTTCTGCTATTACGCTAAACCGTAAACCCAAAACGTTATATATCATATGCCAAGAAGGCCTGCTGAGGCGGCACTGGCGGAAATTCGCCTGGGCCCAGCACTGCACCGAAACATCGAAGTTCTACCACTCGAAATGCTTACAACGCTAAGCCTACAAGGTTTAGGGCTTAGGGCTTATAGGTTTAGGGTTTAGGGCTTCGGGCTTATAGGTTTAGGGCAAAGTTTAGGGGTTTCGGGGCTTCGGGTTTAGGTTAGGGGTTGGGGTTTTCACTGACCAGCGCAACAACAAAACCATCTACAGCGCGTGTGCGAATCTAAAACCATCGAAATCTAAACTATTCCACACCCTATATAGTCCCTAAACCCTAAACCTAAACTAAACCTTGCAAAGCCGCCCGACGCTCCGAGGCCCGATAACCCTGGCTACCTAAGGCCCAGAAGCCACAAGCCCTGGAAGCCCCACCTTCTTACTCAAGCAATGCCTGAATATTATGAATATCGTTTCATCTCATACCATATCGTATCATCGTATATCATATCGTATAACGTGATTCAATGGGTGCAATACTGTCCTAGACTCGGAAAGCCCAACCCCTCGACCTACAGACCCAGCATTTGTCCCCCAGAGTCCTCTCATGGTTTGCTTTCGCGGCTTTGAGAACTTGAGATACTGTTGATCAACCGTATGTTTCATTTGGGCACGGTAGGAGAACAGGCGGCATGGACAACGATCAGGATTCTGCTAGATGTTTCCTATCCGAGTAAGATGGCACCGATCTGTTCATTCTTCATCCTTCGAGTCTTTTACAAGAATTCATTGCTGCCATGGAGCGCTTTCATGGCCTCGGAATGGTTGCGTGCTTCGGGCTGCATTCGGAAGGATGGATTCCCTGGTGAGCAAGCGGATTTCCTTCGGGGTCGGGGTGTGCATATTGAGGGTTCAGTGGTGGGGTGCAACAAGCAGTTTGGGAGGCCTCTTCAACTACGACCCGGTATTGAATGGCCATGACCCTAACGCAAATAATGGGGGCCTGAATAATTGCAGCCGAGATTATTCCTTAGGGTTCCTTAATTAATTATATATTACACCAATCAGAACACACCGCAAGATCCTTAATCATCAAGGCCCCTGTATAGAACCGCTCATGCTCAGGCCCCTGCGCGCCACACCTGCTCCATGCGCTTTCCCCGCACTCCGGCGCCCGGCGCTGGCAGAGAGAGCGCACCGGGCTTCCGCCGTGGCGGTGGCGGCACGCCTGCACGGAGTTCGGGGTGTAGGCATCCTCTTAAATAGTCAAACCGAGACAACCCTGAACCCTAAACCCTCATGGAAAGTTATAAGGCAAGGATTGGGAGTGAGTGGGCTGGAGGTGTGAAGCACTGTTTCTCTGTAGATGATGAAGCGAGCCTTGTTCTGTCAGGCCTGGGATCTGCTGAATCTCGGCTGAGAGCCCAAGAATAGGTGAACCAGAGCTAAGACAGGGCCGGTGGAGATATGCAGAGAAACTCGAAACTAACCAACAACTTGATACCGTCACCATCAGGTCTGACAGTCCGGGCTCTCAAGGGACCCTAAAGCCTAAACTGCTTTAACATGCAAGCGCTCAGGGTTTAGGGGTTCACCTTGACTCCGGGTGTGCGGCCTAAAGAACGGGTTTAATACAGGGGCCTAAGTAATTACCCATAACTTTTCTGGTGATTTCTTATTATACTTATAGTAGAATGGGGCCCAAAACCCTATTCGAACTATTAAGGCCCCTACATTAGGAGGTTGCGGCTTCGTGCTTCACGGCTTCCACACTTCGGGTGAAGGCCTCGATATAGAAGGTTACCAATAATATGCCCTCCGCCCCTGTTGCAATCATATAGTAGAAGAAAGGCCCGAAACCTTGCGTAATTATGCATGAAGGCCTCTATATTAGGCGTTTGGATTGTTTCTGGGGGAGAGTTTATGACTCGCCCTATGGCTCTGCCATCCTCGGCAGGTGGCAACGTCCCTTGTCACTATCGGCAGCTGCGGCAGCAATAGCTCTCATCAACCCTAAACCCTAAATCCCTAACCCCTATAAACCCTAAACCGTGCCTTGCTCCGAATCCGTGACATCCTTCGAGTTCACATCCAGTAAGTGTATGTATGTATCTACCTCTTTGCTTGTTCGTCCATGTATGCGTCCATCTTGCCATCGATGTCTCTATCGGCTCTATCTGGCTTACTGACTGACTGACGGACTGCCTAGATAGCTAGTAAACTAGCTAACTAGCTTTTTGGCTATGTAGCTAACTAGCTAGCTATCTGGTTAGATATCTAACTCTATGTATAACTAGCACAGCTAAGTGGTTGATCCTATCCGCCGGTGGGCAGAAGGTTTCGCGTTTGTAGGTGTTAGGGGTCGGCTAACTCGCCGAGCTGTCTTGTCATGCAGGGTTTAGGGTTCGTGTGTCCAAGGGTGCAGGCTCGCGTCTGATGCGTAGTTGGGTTTCGCATCTCAAGTTTTAACGTTTAGCCATTGGAGACTGTTGTCCTAAGCGACACGGCGGTGTTCTGCATCGCGCCTGGCAGGTGACTAGGTCCGAGCGAAGGAGAGTCAGAGAGAGACAGACAGAGACAGACAGACAGACAGACCGACAGACAGACAGACAGAAAGACAGAGAGAGAGAGAGAGAGTGACCCTAAAGCCTAAAAGCCTTGGAAACCCTGAACGCATGGAGGCTGGCGAAATCGGCAGTGCAGACTGCGCCGGGCGGCCTTCGTCACGCGAAAGCTGGGATCCAGCTCGACGCTAGCACGACATTGCCTTGCCAGCGACTCCCAAAGCCCCCATAACCAAGCGGTATGCTGTACCTCACGTAAGTTAGAGCGTGGCCTTAATCAAGATATGTAAGTAAACCTTATGGTCGAGCGCGAGTTCTAAAAGGTTTGTTTTATGTAATTTTTGGAGTGCTCCGTAGCTAATATGATTTGAAGGTTAAGTATTTGGGCCTCCACGCATCTGGCCTTTGGGTAAAAGAGTGCTGGATTCCTCCCATCTGTTCTACAAAGTCTACTGCTACTACTACTACTGCTGCTGCTGCTGCTACTACTACTACTACTACTACTACTACTTCTACTGCTAGTACCACTACTACTAGCCACCCCCCCCCCCCACCAACTACACTTGCAGAAGTTGCAGAGGCTCACTTTCCTCAACAGTCACAGCCGGTGAAGTTGCAGAGGATCAGGCCCCAAAACTGCGACAGCAGTTGGAGTTGCAATCTCGACGGGGAAGAAATTGCTCAACCACAGGTGGTCAGATAGTACGAAAACGCTGTAAAGACCGTGCAAAACGCAAGTGCTGCCAAGAACGTTTTAACACTCCTAAAACTTGAAGCGCAACATCTTATAAACTTGAAAAACAAAGATGCCAGCTGTACGTAGGAGGAGCTCGCCAACACCCCTAAAGCCCCGACCTCGGCGGAGGAGGGTTTGCTTTTGAAGTACTGCGTGCTGTGTGCGCGCTAGGGTGTGGATATATAGTTCGGGGTGTGGGCGAAACAGTGTCGTGTTCATCACCGAAAAAGCTTTCCTCCACCCAAATTCGATTTTTTGTTGCAAGCCGTGCGAAACACCAAAGTTTAAGACGCACAGTCCAGAAGTAGGGGTGGCGACTAGATAATGAAGTCCGACATCACGACAGCACCGTAGATACCGAGTAGAACGGCTCTTGTGGTGATATCGTTGGTTGTGTTTGCGTGACACTGTC